CACTCCAACAGCCAGCCGTTGAGAGCTGCCAGTTGCATCTGAGCAGCAGCCGCGAAAGCAACAGGAGGGGTAGCAGGTGGTCGGGGCGGGGTGGGGAGGTGGGGGAGATGGGGGGAGATATGCAAGGTCAATGGACAAGTGTCGCGACGCCGTAAGCAACAGGAGGTGGAGGGGAGACAATATGCAATATCAAAGAAAAAACGGCCAGTAAGGGGGGGGAAACGGGGGGGGAAGGGGGGAAAACGAACCACGAGCGAGTGAAGCTGATGCCAAGGAAAGACCGATGGGGGGAAATGGGGTAAAGAGAAGGGAAAACACAGCAGGGGTATGTGTAAAACTATGGGTGTGTTTTTGAGGTGTTGGTCAGGGAAGGCATTGGACATACGCACAGACAAACATGCACACATACATAAGTACATATAAACGCATACGCACATTGGCCAATGGCCTCCAGCGATTGGATTCCTCGCCACTTCCTTCCTACCCATACCATCCAGCTTTCTAAACAACATACCTGCACATGCCATGTGTGGGCGCGAACAGCTGCAAGTAGCCCAGCGCCTCGTACCCTTCGCTGGGCCGCCGATCGACCGCCAGAATGGAGGGACGCAGCTCGCACCACACCTCCCCTAGAGCATTGGGCTCGAAGAACCGTCGGGCCTTGGATACTAGCTTCACCAGTGCCGTACCACGCGCCATGATCAATCCCACGCCTGTGCATGACACAGACATGTATGTGCATGTGTGCTTGTCAGGGGAGGACAACATGGTGCGCATGAACGCACGTGTGCGTGTGTGTGTGCGTGTGTGCGCGTATACATTTTACAAGAGAACTAGGCGGTCGCTTTCGTGCGCAGAAAGAGGGGTAGGGGTAGGGATGGGGAGTTGCCACCAGGCGACGAAGGCGATCCGCTTAGCACCTAGTCCCGTCGCACACATCACACAATCATCGCACAACAAGCAGCTAGGCGGTACGGCGGGTACGGCAGCGCGCGGGGGACGAAAGGTGAATAGGGAAGCGCGCGGGGTTGACGGGCGCTTGCGGGAGTTGTGCGTGGAGGAGAGAAAGGGTTTTGGCGTACGGCACGTTTGTGGCGTCTTGCCACAACCTCCGTTTGCCTCCTATGGCGCGGGATACCAGAAGCCCCCCTTCCTTACACTCTTGCCCTGGCAGCAGCTTCACTCGTGTGTGGTTCGTCTTTCCCCCCCTCCTTACCTTCCAGCTTGGGCAGTGGCAAGCCATGCAGGCGCTTCAGCACTGCGAACAGCGGCCGCCAGGGCAGTTGCAGGTGAGCACGGCGCAGTGTGCGCTTGTGTGTGCGCAGGAGCTTGGTCAGGCACTCCGTTATGCGGACCTGGGGACGGCAGGGGACAGGAAAATACCATACGGGTTACAGACCAGGGCTCGGGTGTGGGGGGCGGCAGCGGCGGCGGAAGTGTAGGGACGTGGGGAGGTGGATAGGAGAGTGTTTAATGGTCCTTTTGGTCTAATCGGCGGCCGCGTAAGGTGGAGGCGAAAAAGGACTTTGTTTTTTGAACAAGTTTGGGCTCCTTCATGGTCAGGTGGGGTTTCGGGTGTTTAGGGTTCCCTTGTGTTTGGGTGTTCCCATGATGTTGGGTCAGGGGGATTTTGATGATGAGATTCGGCTCGTTGGTGGTTCGCGCTGCGGACCCGCAACTCAGCCTGTCACGACTGCGACATGCTGTATCACACACGATAAATAGATACCTGCGCCTCCAGGTCTCTCCACGATTCCGACACGCTGCGCCATAGCGCCTCGGCCAGTGGTAGGACGTGCTCAGCGGGAAAGTCCTGGTGCCGATTACTGAAGCTGCGGCAACAGAGCAGCAGAGACATGGAGGCACCGACGCTTCGAATTGTGTACATGAGTTTTCAAAGGAAGGGGTGGATATAGACCGGAACGGCGCGGGTAGAGGCGGTACAAGCGGTGGAGGGGGCATGCGGCGATGCCAATGCCACGAAACGCCTGTCCGGCCTGTGCCCGAGCCTGTGGGACAGTTTGCCACGAAATCACATCCCCTTCTGCGCTTACGTATTCACGTGTGACAGCCACTTCACAAGGCGGTGCCAGCGGTTCGGATCTACGTCGTCCCGCAGTATGGCATCCACTTCCGCGCAGACGCAGCGGGAAAGCGCTGCAAAGCGGCCTGGCTCTTCATCTTGAATACCCTGAGCAATATCTTGGGGAAGCCACTTCTGCCAAATCCTGGGAGCCATAGTTTCTGATGAGGCTTTTGAACTAGCAATGCATCAATCTGTGCTGTCGGGGACGCACGAGAAGTATCAGCCCAGAAAGTGTTTTAGGATAGAGAATAAAGAAATGAGTAACACCTGCAACTCAATTTGCACTTCAGTTGCACCTGACATATAACTTGCTGACGAGGAATGAGGAGAGGCCTCTAGGAGAGGCCGACAGTGGCTTCACGTAAAGCCAACCCTCGAGAAGCTGCTAATCCTACTTGCAACCTGCCTTGTACACTAAAGGTGTTCTCTTAATGCTCCGCCACTAACGAACTCGCCTCGGACTGCTTCATTGGCCACAATTGGGAAGATATCTGCCATGCGCTGTATCTGCAAAAACTTACAGGCAATGCCGTCCATTCAACTGCAGGCAGCTACTCGTGTTCTGTCTTCGCATTAGCAGCAACCGCAACAACGATCCAACTAAATGCGAGACAGTCCCTGATTTCAGCTCTTTCAACCAAAGAGATTGACCGAAAATCAAATCCATTTTTATGTGGCACGGAAAGCCAGAAGTTTATGGAGGAACTAGCTTCAGCTGGGCACACCGTCACGACAGCCAGGGCGGGATTGCCGACTCATGTGTTCGGCTTTCATCTCTCATGCAATAAAATGCTGCAATAAAAGAATTACAAGCCCTCCTTGTAGTTCTGCCAGATGGAACCACTTTGCAGCTCACCCTCCCCCTAAATCGCTGCGTGCATTTTTAGTGATCTTATGGAAGCCTGCATACGGTGCTTTGCCTGCGTGCGTGTGCTGCTGCTCATGCGGAGTCGCACGCCTGGTGTGAAGTGGCACACAGCGCCGCACGATCCAGCTAAACGGTGCTATCAAATGAACAATCACGGAGCTAGATACCTTCAAGTTTCAACGAGGAACCTTTTGGAAAGACCCAAAATCGTATTGTGCCGCGACTGCCCCACCCCGACGGTTATGCCGCGACTGCTCCACCCCGTTGCTCCGCCACATATTATAGCTATCACCCTATCTTTGCTTCTTTGTTTTGGTTTCTTTAATTGGGGGACTTTTGGGGCGCCAGGCCTCATCTGGTAACAACGTGCAAGTTCCTGTCAGTATCTGCTGGTGGGCCTTCTGGTGGGGTTCCAAGGACTTTCGCCAATTGGGGAGTCTATTGGCAAATTCCCTGGTGGTTGCGGGCTGCTGAGCCTTTCCTTAGGGTTGCCTGGTCTGGGTGGGAGTCTTGTTTGCCCAGAACGTCTCAGGTGCAGTAATGCACGGCCCGCTGGCCAGCTGACTCTACTCTTCGTGAGTCTGGAGCCCACTGTAACAGCCACACACACATATTATGACGGCTAAGGACGTTGAGAAAACGCATGTTTCATGCTGCCTGTAACTCGATGGAAATTACGCATCTAAATCTTGTGCGCTTACTATTGCGTTATCTTGCGGCTCCTGAGATCCAGATCAAGCAATAATGTGTGGCAGCAATGGCGTGCGGTGGCCCTACGCCGCGCGTTCCGTTTACGTTATAGCCGGAGGAGAACTAAAAGGTTGGGACAGCGTCTAAGCAGGATATTCGCGCCGATTAAATGAGGTACTGGTTCCGGTAGCCTGCAGCTGACAGCGGCTGATGAAGATTCATCACGAAGACCATTTACTTATCCCTCGTCTGAGGTGAGTTAGGTAAGTTAGGTAAGTTATAAATTGTGGGTAGGGGTTGTGGCTGTATTTATCCGTCTTCATAAAACGTGAAATAAGTTACGCATGCGTTGCCTTGCGTTGCCAATTACGCCTTTGGTGACATTGGTTGGGCCCGTCCTAAATGTTTTTTGCTGCAGGTAGGGGTAGGTGGGCGCAGATCAAGCCCAATCCTGGTCAGCGCAGTGATCGCCGCGCTGCGAGCAGGGCTGGCCAAAAGCTCCTGTTGAAAATCTAAACACACGGAGCGCGCTTAAGTGATTCGCGCCTGATGAAGTCCCTTGATCGCTCGTACCCCAAAACATCGCGACCATCGGGACGATCGTGCCCGAATATCTCAAACCTCAACTTTTTGATGACTTTGCCATGACATGCCTGCATAATTTGCAATCCTAAGTGAAATTCTTGCCCTGTCTGCTTAGGGATGGTTCTCACAGCCCAAACCTGGACACATCTGACGCGGAAGGCGAAGAACATCAGACGTGCCTCTGCGCATGACTAAAATAAGTATATAAAACAGAATTAATGCATTTACTCAGAAGTACATCAACCTGGGATCGAGTACTGGAGGTTGGACATAAACGGACGCGAATGTAAAGCCGTTGGTCCGCGACTTTTGCTTAGGAGAAATCCAGAGACTGAATGGTACATGAAACCTCATAATTATGGCTATGTCTCATCCACGGAGACAACCATCCATTTGTTGGCTGTCAGCCTTCTTTGAAATGCGCGGAATGCTTTGAATGGGCGGGCGTGCTCGTAACAGAGTCTTTATTGATGGAATGGAAACGTAATGAGTTTACCTCAACCTTAATGGCATTAGTTTATCTCAATCTGAAATTGGATGTATTCCTGCTGTACCTGCATACGAGTGCTAGATTCGTGCTAGAGGACATTGACAATTGCTAGACAGCTCGCACGTTTGCTTTGTAAACGCTTTAATTATAGTGATCATTACTAAAACTCAACTAATCCTGCTTTCTGAAGGGTAAGGCATCACCTCCCCCGCCAGCTTCATGAGAGCATTGCACGCAAATGCTGACACCTGCACTGTCCTTCCTGTAAGAGCGCCAATCAACATTCAGAATGAATAATAACAGAAGATATTAACAACCAAATCGGTCTTATTCCTAAAGGTAAGTCACAGCACCGGGTGTCCCTTGGCCGCGCTCGCAAACGGAGAAAATGACCCAGGTGCAGATCGCGAACTTATACCTGCCACACATAAAGAAATTTAATTTTGAATCACATGAATCGCATTGTTAGGGTCATCTCACTGTCTGCGCGAAGGGACTTTGCTACACCGTCGAAACGACACTCGCTGCCAGTTGCGGATCGCACCCACGCTTTCCTTGCTAACGTGCATCTTCAACATAATCTTGCTTATACAGAATATCCGTGAGAGCGCAAACGGCGTCCTTTGGAGCTCCTTCACTCAGTATGCGCCTCTTGTAATTTCGTATCCTCGTTCGCGTGCTAGCAGGCCAAATGAGCAGCTCGCGAACCGGATTCTCAAGCCATGGCAGCTGCCCAGGCATCGCACACCAGTTTTTCAATTTCTGTGATCCGCCGAGTCGCCAGCACGCGGCCTTCGTCAACGCCAAGGGTGATTGCGTCTCTGGCCCAGCTCCTTACCGGAAAAACACATGGCCTTCTGCAGCTGCTCCAGAAACGCTCAGTCTGCCTCATGACCACAGCCGAGCCATTGCGGCTACAATTTCGGTCAAGTCAAATGCTGGAGCCGCCGCAACCATGCCAGTCTCACAGCTGCCACCACACGCCGCTGCGGGCGTTGACCCTTACCAGTGCTGTAAGCCACCTCAGGCACCCGCCTGGGATCCGTATCCACCACCGCCGCAAAGCTTATCCGGAATGGTCGGCCGCCTAGCCAGGTCCGGCGCCCTTGCAGCGCACCCTCATCTGCACGCCTGCTACGGGCCCCCGGCCAGCGTGATGGTGCCGCTGCCGCCCACAGCCGCGCGGCCCCCACTCGCGCCGCGCCCCCCAGCTGGAGCCGCACCAAGATCCGGAGGCCAAGCACACGGTCCCGTTGGCATGCCGCTGTCGTCTCCGTCACCATCGCACCAACACCAAGTGTATCCGCACCAGCCTATGCCGCCGCAGGCTGGCTCGGGTGCTCACCCCGTGGCACCGCCGGCACCTTCCGGCACTTACCCAGTGTCCGTTCCGACGTCCGTCTCCGCACCGCCGCCGCCTCCGGGGGTCTGGCCGTGGCCTTGGTCACTGTCGCAGCCGCCGCCGCCGCCGCCACCGCCGCCCTCAGCGGCACCGCCGCAGGCGGGTAGCGGCGGTGGGCCCGTCACCGGCGCTGGTGGGAACGGTAGCAGCGGTGCAAGCGGCTGGACCGCCTCTGGACCGCCAGGTGGTGGCGGCAGCGGCGGCGGCGCGGTGGGCGGCATGTGCCGCAGCGGCGGCGGCAGCGGCGGCAGCGGCGGCTGGCGCCCGGAGGATGACGAAGCCGAAGACGCCCTACAGGAGCTGCTTCTGGAAGAGATCGCCGCGGCCCCCTGGCCCCACGTGCACATTCCCTCTCTGCGTGCGGCCGGAATCTTTATTGAGACCTGTCACGGAGGTCGCTGTGACCCGACGCTAATGCCGCCGTGGCCGCTGCCGCACCTCAGCGGCGCCACACCGCCGTCAATGCCACCTTGGGTCACCGGCGCGGGGGCCAATGCCGCTGCCGCCATGGCCGCCAAACAGTCAACGGCCGCGTGGGATCCCATGCAGATGCCGCCACCGCTGCCGCCGCCCATGCCGGCGCAGATCCCGCCGCAGCCGCACCTTCAGCAGCAGCAGCACCAGCAGCAGCAGCAGCTGTCTCCTGAGACGTCCACGCTGCCGCACATGGCGCCGCCCCTGCCGCCGCAGTTATCACCGCAACAGAAGCACCTTACTCAGTCGCAGTCAGCCAACCCGCCTCAGGAGCTGTTATTGCCGCAATTGCAGTCTCAGGCAGCCACCGACGGCTTACTGCTGGGCCCGCCTCCGATATCTGCCGGCGGGACGGGTATGATGGATGTGGAGATAGGTCTTCAGTCTCGAAGCGACGACGCCCTGTTCGCTGCATGGCTTAGTGAGATGGGCACGGGAGCCGGGGCACCCCAAGCGCCGCCGGGTATGACCAGCGCTGGCTCAGGCAGCGGCGGTGCGGCGGTCTGCTGGGCGCCACCAGGCTCGACTACACTCACAGGCCCGACGGGCACAGCACCGCCGCCTCCAACGGGCGCAGGGGCTGCGCAACAGGACAGTGGTTACAACCGGGCATCCTTCGTCAATTCTCCCAACTCCACGAGCATGCCAACCACTCCAACCGTCACGAACGGTAGGCCACGATCTGAAACAGGCTGCGGCGGCGGATTTACGCTGTCGGCGTCAGCGTCAGCGGCGGCGACGGCGCCGTCGCAGACAGCCGCCGCAGCGGCGGCTGCCGCGGCCGTCTCCGCTGCAGTGGCCGTCGTCGCTGTGGTAGAAGCTGCCGCCGACGCCGCCGATGCAGCCGCCGCCGCAAACGCGGCGGCGGCGTGTGGTGGCGGCGACGGCGTGGTTCGCGTTGAGGAGGCCATGCTCAGCGATGATGGTGAAGCAGAGACTGTTTCTGGGGGCTTGAACGCCGCCGCCGCCGCCGCCGCCGCCGCCGCCGGCGGCGCTATCGGCGCGGGAGCGCATACCGGTGTTGTCCCTGCTAGCACCATCGACGGGAGCTGGGACGGCGGCGCCGGTGCGAACACTGGCAATTGCGCTGTCATCGGCGGCGGCGCGCACACAGTTGCTGCCAGCCTGCGCGAGCAGATCTACGGCACATTCGACCTCCCAGTTGCCGACGCTGCGCGTGTGCTTGGTATCAGCGCGACGGAACTCAAGCGCAGGTGCCGGCGACTGGGCATTTCACGCTGGCCACAACGCAAGCTGCAAAGCCTGCGGCGGATCGTGCAGGCTGCGGAGTCCGATGCGGGATTGTCCGAGGATGAACGCAAGGTAAGCGGGCTAGAGTTGGTTTTCGATTTTATCTATCAGTTTGTCTGTAGGGTATTTATCCAGCCTACTAATTCATCAGGATATGAGCGCGTGTACGTGTAAATGTACGTGAGTCTTAATACTAGCTATAAGGGAGCAGAGCAGAAGGAGGCCTCTTTGGGTATATGCAGTCAAACCATCGTGGAGGGGTGAGTACCCGCACGCCAATGTGCGTTGGCATTCTTGGATTGTAATCTGAGCTCCGGGGTTTGTGGGCCAGGAAAATAAAATCATGTGAAAAACACGAATGGACGTGGTCAAAATAGGTTCTTTGTTCGCACAACGTTGGACGAGCTTGATGAGCATCCCGCGCCATGGCCTGCCCCACCATGTCTCACTACCACTTTATTTATTAGAGGGACAATAAATGTTACTTATACACATTCTTTCTAGGAGGATCGCAGTGTCTGCGGGTGCGCGCATCTGGATGGAAGGCGCAAGCGGCGATTAGATTGAGGACGTCCTAAACCACGCCAAGTACAAGTACAAGCTGCAAAAACATGGAGGAATTTAATAGCTTACGTTTACTTACTCTATTCCTAACGAGGCGGTCATTTCCAACACCTGGCCGTAATCGTAACGGTCCTTTCATCTCCCGTTTTTTTCTAGGTGCCAAATGGCTGCAAATTCCAGAGACTTATAAATTATAATTACAGGTCCAAAACTCTGCTCGTAGGCATACGAGAACATAGCAACGCAACGTGGTGTAGTATTGTCAGCGACCAAACTCTGGACGACAATAATAACTGATGTGCCCGCTCATAGTATTCATTTCAGTAAAAGTTAAAAATGATATAAAATTAATACAGACGCTTCATTTCAATGGAGACGCGTAAAGCTAGTTTTAACAGGCGCGGGGCGCCGTTAACGGGGCCCCAGACGGAAGCCAACCACGCATAGGGCGCTGCCAGGTTTGCCAGCCCTCCGTATCATTCTAGTGAAAATTTGTGGCTTAGGGCTAAAGATCGTGCGGATCAGCCCGAACGCGTACCGTACCGCTCGTCTTTTCTCAAACCTTTGTGTGTGTGTGTGGTGGTTACAGTGGGCTCCAGACTCACAAAGAGTAGAGCCAGCGGGCCAGCTGGCCGTGCACTGCAGTAGAGACTAATATACAAATTAGACCATCACCTCAGATAATTAACCGTTCATCGGTGACCGCTCACGTGAACATAGCAATTTGCCAGATATAATTCTCAAGAAGGGGTGATGTGCGCCAACAGAATCCCAACCTTTCTGTGGAAATCCCAAAGCTGCGAAACCCTGAAGGCAGCCCCAAAAGTCAACAATAACTCGACAAATGGCTTCTTCCGTAAGGGAAGGGCCAGGTAACAGTGCCGGGTTGGTTTTCATGTTTGCAGCCATATAACGTCTCCCATGCTCCATGGCTGACACCGCAGCAAGAGCCACAACATCCCAAACACATTGTTGCACTGTTTGTGGGGCTTGGACAAGCCAAAGTTGCTCCCTTGAGACTGGCAATCCTATTGAAAGAGTAAGTTGATCTGCTACTGCCTGTGCCACCGGACAGGCCCAGAAATGATGACAGCGAGGGGATACACCTCCCACTGAACCTATTGGATAACCTCCACAACCACATACTGTTGGCCGCGACATCCTAAGATGGGAATTTCCTAACATAGGCACCCCATCAACCGTGAGACGCCACCAAACCTCTTTTTGTTCATTTTCCCATTGTAAATGAGACCATAAACGATGAAATGTCCGTTGCAAAAGAAGAATAGCTTCATCCAATACCTCAGAAGAGCCCGTCGCCTCTTTGATGAAGAGGGTATGGGCCACACGGCGAGCCATCGAAAATGGTGAAAGTTGCATATTAGTCGCTATTTTAACGGATGAATGTTGAAATCTGATTGGAGGCCCTACACCCCATCTCCAACCAAGCCTCGACACTAGGGTTTCGGTAACCGACTCAATGGAGGGCACCATCGCTTCCCTAGATTCTACACTCAGCGGCAACAAAAGACTGGCCGCCTGTCTCCAAGTCGCCGGGATATCAGCTAAAAGAGCGACAATAGCACCCATACATTCCTGCCCTTTACGATAGGTGCACAGGGATTTAGCTAGTGGGGTCCGCGGTTGGAGGTATTGATCCACTATTTGATGCCAAGCCTTGCGTATTGCTGGGCCTGCCTGGTCCGTTGCATTCATAACTCCATCCAAGGCCTCGCGCGCGCGAAGAACATCCCCCAACGTATGCAAGGCTTTACAGCCCAGGAGGGCTTGGTGTCGAAATTCTAGTCCCGGGCGGATGTTATCTGACGGGACATTCAACCTCTTTTCTGGAAGAACAGGGTTTCCCCACAGAGGCAAATTCCAACACCACGCATTAGGAACTAACGGGTGATCATCAACATCTTCCACTGGGGGAAGGTATGCCAACGCTGTCACAATGCGCTGAACATCTGGCGGTAAAACGATTAATCCAAACCAAGGCACTCCCACCTGGGACGTAAAAATACACATAGGATTGTACTTGGGGTAAAGGCTATGCAGAAAAGAGTGCATGACCAACACCCGTGGCGGACGTACTAAGACTGGTTGGACTATCGCTCTCACAAAACGCACTGCCCAGCACGCCCATCGCGCTTGTACGTGTTCTCGAACTGCTAATGCCCCAAAACCGCCCAAAGTTGGATGGCCATATAACAAATATTTAGGAACCCCGGTGAGTCGTCTGTCATGTGCGACCGGTCCGAGGTTCCTATCAATAAGCTTGGCAGCTTTAGCCTCAATATTAATCAGTTTTGCTTCTGGTGGAAACCCCCCGTGTTCCATCTATGTATGCTTCTTCCTTCCTCTACTCATCCGCTTACCGCTTCCTGGTCTCTCATACGTTTGCAGGCCGTTATTGAGCTTGCGGCTCGCAACCGTGAGGAAATCATGGCTGATCCAGACGCTCCATTAGTTGACCTCCTGAAGACGGTCCGGCAGACACAGTACAAGCAGTCCTTCGAGAAACGTGCTGCCGCAGCCGCTGCTAGCCGCCGCGCCCCGCCGCCTATGTAAGCGCCAAGGGAACTCAACACCGAGGCGTCGGCGCTGAACCGCCAAAGCTGAACGTAAGTACGACTGCCAGCCAGCCAGTAGCTGGTCGTGTTCCAGCTCTGAGTCTGATCCTGCAGGGTACACGATGAATCGCGTGAGCTTGTTTTGGATCGTGCGCGCGTGGACCGGTGCACGAGTGTATGACGAATGATCTGGATATGAAATGGAGCTGGTCGTGTCCCTCCGCCTGGCTGATGGTGCCCTCCGTTATAGTTATATTTTATAATTGAGGGGGAATCCCCGAGTAGCTCCGACCGTATGGCTGCAAGCCCGCACAGAAACCCTCTCAACCGGTGCCCTACTTCCGTTGACATCACGGTGTCCGACGTCCCATGCCGACGTCCCCCATGATGGAGAGAGCAGCAACAAAGCGAACCGAACCGAAGCTGAGAGAACGCAGTGGGGGGAGAACTTCTACTTCTTTCGCCCCGTTCGGGAAGTTATGATATGACCGCAGCTGGGTGGACTTAGGGTTCATGGCCCACATGCACGCATGCACGCATGCACGCACGCACGCACGCACGCACGCACGCACGACACAAACACAACAAGCATGCACATGCGCGCATGGAAGCGAGAGCATGCTTGGCAGACCCATGGATATCTTCCCGTGCATGTGTGTGTGTGCGTGCATGTGTTGTGAGGTGAGGTGTGGGTGAGCCAGTTGTGCGTGCCTGCCTGCCTCTACGTGCGCCTGCATTGGGGATTATTATATGTGGGGGGGGGCTGTGCACATGCGCTGCACGTGTGTGCATGCTGCCCCGGCGAGAGGCCATCGGGCCCACAAGGGGGATGAATCGGGAGCTCGGACGGACTGGGTGACGGGAACGAGATGGAAAACGAGAGAACACGAACCGAAGGAAGCTAGCGGGCAAGGCAGGGCATGGCGCTGAGGGGCAGGCGGCATGAGGCCGGGAGGTTTGTAAGACTGGCAGAGTGTAGGCAGGTAGGGTTCTGGGCCGGCAGTAGGAGTCGGGCCGGTGTAGGGAGTTGGAGTTGGAGTTGGAGTTGGAGGCTGTACTGCACCACCATGTATGCTACCCGAGCCCGTGATAGACATGAAGCAGAGGGCTCCTGCCATGAGCAAGGTCACAGCATGCCATGCACAATTCTTTTCTTCCGTTTCTGTTTCTTTCGTCCTTCGTCCTCTTGTACTGTTTTTTCATCATTATCAATTTGGGCACCGTCATCCTTTGCGGGCTGTGGGCAAAGCAGCTCACGGCGCCATGGACGTGTATGTACACGCACCGTACGTGCGAAGTCAAAGCTACTGTCAGAGGCAGGGGGTCGAGCTCTGTTGCACTGTCAACAGGCGGTGGCGCTGTGCGCGCGGCGCATTGGATCATCAGCGCAACACAGCGACCGGAAATTGAGTCACTGCTCGGGGATTGTTGTTGTCATTGCGTTCGTGTTCCTTGTACGATATTGATGAACTGTCAAACTCGTGCGAGTACCGTAATGCGTTCTGCCGGTAGTTACCAAACGTGCGTGAGCTCTCTTGCGCATGCATGTGTGTGTATGTATGTATGTGTGTGTGTATGTGTGTGTATGTGTGTGTGTATGTGTGTGTGTGTATGTGTGTGTGTGTATGTGTGTGTGTATGTGTGTGTGTATGTGTGTGTGTGTGTATGTGTGTGTGTGTATGTGTGTGTGTGTATGTGTGTGTGTGTGTGTGTGTGTGAGAACCCACCTTGCGTGCGTCTGTACTTTTCATTTACGTACGTTACACGCGCATGCACAACAGAGGAAGAGACGCGAGGTGACAACAAACCAACCCGTTGCCCGTTGCAGCTTCTCAACCACGCCTTCGCCGAACCGAGCTGCCATCGCCAAATTTTTCATCAGCATTTTTCGGTCACTCCATCTACCTTAAATGTCCATTACTTTTTCCATTGATAACTTCACTTCACGGTTCGAGGTTTTTGAAGGGGCAAAGTCATGATGAGCGCTTTGTGTCGCGTGTCGCAACCGACAAACTGACCGTCAATAATTAGGCAAATCGCCGCCAACCTTCCATCGAAAATCGTCCCGTCTCACTGACCAATTATTGGAGCCATCTTGCGCTCTGACTTAATTTCGCTATCAGCGCGTCTGTCTGCTTGTATGCCTGTATGCTCCTCAGAGAAGCCTTTCATCATGTACATTGCAAGTGCTATGTGATCCACAATATTGCCATGTCGTGCCCGTCATGTGACGTGTGTCGTACTGCCGTACCTTAACCAATTTTTGCGTTGCGCACACATGCACAATCATGGAGGCATGTCACGGTCGTGTGCGGGTCAGGGTGATGAGGGTGAGCATCAACCAACCAAAATCTATTCTATCAATTGCTCAAGCAATAATGGCTGAATTAACAAGCCGATTTACTTTTAATCAGCCCATGACGTGCATTTTGCGTCCATGTGGTTGAGGTGGTTGTGATGGGAAACGTTTTGGGTGCACACAGGCGTACGTCTACCTTCCGCCACCTCCGCTGACTTTCACGCGCGTGACGTCGTGTTGTGAATGTGAAGGCGAACGGGAAAGGAAACACCCACCCCCCCTCGGTCTCTGCGTCTGCGCACATTGGCCTCATGTCACATTGTCCATGCCGATGGAAGCTGCTCGCGCATGACCCTGCAATTCGCGTAGCGGCGTTTTCCCTATTCGATGCGTCTGGTCCAATACCCTCTCGTACGAGAGCTGCGGATCCAGCGGTCATTTACACCGACCAGAGTCGAAGTCACCGTGCTTGCTTCGTTCGTCGGTGATGTGGTGGGGCGTGTAGCATACGGGGCCTGGGGCCGCCCAGTTTTTGCTGGAGTTGATTCCTTGCTGCTGCTGCATACTGCATGCAATCGATGTGCTCGATGTGCTCGATGCACCTATGGTAGGCTTGTGGCGGGCTACGCCACCGGTTGGCCGGCGCGCCTCCGTTGTCCATGCTGCTGCGGTCTCCGTCGGTCAACTACCACAGCAGAATCCGTGGACAGCGAACCAGCAAGCCATCGTAGATGTCTAGTTTCCCTCCCAGCCTGATCACCACATGCATGTATCTATCGTTCTGCAGCAGCTTGCGTGTCCTGTGTTACCCAGGTTGTATTTTTGCAGCAGCTACTACTATACTAGTTGGATTGCGTGATCGCGTGCTCCTCCGAGCATGGTACATGGTGACGATGCGCGCAGGGCGGGGAGATAGCAGCCACGTGGGCTGGTGATCTGGCGATCACACTCACTCCACCGCGTCGTCAGAGCTCGGTTAGAAGATGTGGATGCCTTGCCCCACGTTCGTAGCGTGTCGACTTACCAACCAGGGTGCGGACTGCATGTATGCGTCTTTAGTGTAGCGCGCGCATAGATAGCGTGTTAGACCGTAACAAGTAAAACGTCAAGTTTTTTTCAACGTGCGCGTTAAACGTGCGTGCGTGCGTGTAGCTTATTAATTAGGGGGTCTTGGTCTCGGTCAGGATTAGGGTTGGCTCTGTGTGTGTTTGTGTGTGTGTGTGGTTGCGATTGTGATTGTGGTTGCATTGTGAAAGCATTTGGAAGGCTACTGCTGGAGACAGCTATGGATAGGTGCGGAACGGCATTACGTTATGGGATGATCGCTTGCGAAAAGCTTACTGCTAAACCGTCTGATCTGTTGTCCGTAGGTTCTTAAATATAGGAGCTGCTGCCCCCGTCCGCTTTGCTTTCGCCTCCGTTTCCTTATCGCCGGGAGCGATGACTATTTTAGGAGGGAAGTAGAGAGCGAACCCCTGCCTTATCCCGTATTTGCATCACTGCCTTTGTGTACAATGACAGTGCATCCTGCCGGCAAGCAAAGCAGAGGCTGTGTATTCGTCCTGCAGGCCGTGTGTGCTTTGCGGGGCCGGCTGGGGAAGATCCTGCACTCTTGAGTATAACTGCTCATGAGGGGAACTTCTACCGGTCGAGCTCAGCACCGCATGCGCATTCACCACCAACAACGACAGGGCGGTTGTGGATGACAGTATGCTGAGTAAATGCTGACTGTGTGGCTAGATCCTTGTTGGTGGTAACGCCTATTTTACGCCACGCCCCCTACAGTGCACGCAAGCTCTTGCGCAATTGGTGGGCTTGTGCGTGTGTGCGTGTGTTGGGAAGATACAGCATGTATGTATGTATGTATTATGTGTGGATTCAGGTATTGCTGAATCGAGGGATAGAAAAGTCGGGGAATGGTGCTTGAGTACTGACGCAAATTGGTCAATGCGGGACCAACAGTAAATGCACACGGCTAAGAAAGGATTTCACGCACAAGACTGGAGAGGGCATTAGAATGATGAGGATTAGACTACTCGCCCAATGCGGCCGATACCGGGCCTGTGCTCAGCAGTGGTTCTTGACTGCGCGGCATAGAGCCTTCACATACGCACACAGAATATAGAAGCATCGCCTGTGAACCAGCTCCCTGGGGAATTGTTATAATTGAAAACGGAGCTTGCCAGGTGCTACAACACAAAGGTTTGGGGGAATTCTGTTTGCGGATTCCATGGGGTTTTGGAGGCTTGTTTATTTGTGGATGTAGCTCTGAATGTTACAATTCCGTAAGATCCTAAAATTCGTGTGTGTGAAATGGATGCGGAGTTCTCCGGCGGTTAACGTGCTGGGTTTGCGAATCCAAACTGGACGTGTGTGTATTATGTGCACGCAGCAGCTCTTCCTGGCCATTGGCTACGAGGCGGCTCACGGGATCGGGCCCCCGACCCCGGCCCCGCCCCCCCCCACACACACACACGCCCCCGGCCCCAATCCCCATGTCGCTCTGGGTCGCACCGCATTGGCCGCAATCTTGACAGAGCCGCCTTTCAGAAGCGAGGAAAGAAGAAATAAGGCTGCAAAGGCAGTGTGTTGTTGTCATTTGTTACGTCGCGAGCTGGCTCGGGGGCTGTGTTGTGTGCGCGCGCGTGTGCATGTGTGTGTGTGTGTGTGCGCGCGGCTGTTGCGTACGTACGCATGTATGTGTATTCTGTTTGACCTGTATGTGTATGTGTGTACATGTGTTGTTGAGTGTAAGTATGTGTGTTTTATTTGTGTGTGCTTGCGCCACTTGTCTGATAACTTTGTGTTGAAGGAGTTATTTGCCACACATAGAATCTCAGAGGATTGGGCTTTCTTTAGGTTCGTTTGTGCAGATCTGCGAGAAGAGGTTTCGATGTACACACGCATGTACCTATTCGCCTAAGTATTAGATTTGCACGTGCTGACAGATGCAGTGGGCCTTAACCACATCTTTACCTACGTTTTGCTGTGGCCCGCTCCTTAGAGTGTCTTCATGAACTTTTGTGTCGTCTCTCACCCCCACGCGGATTAAGGTGCAGAACCGGCGCACGCACGCTCCTCTAAATTGCCAACACACTACCCTTCAACGTACTACACACCGCCCGGGAGACCGCTGCGCTAGTACGTATTTTTACGGACTCCAAGCCACGTGCGCGATGGATGCCTCGCTTTTGTTCCCGCCGGTCCGGCTGTTGCTGTGTCGTCGGCAAATGTCGTACACGTACATGTCTTCTTGACGTTAACTTCTCAGGTGTTCCCTAGTTAACAGAAGGCCCTTCAGAGGTATTGCTCATTAAAAGATATCTTACGTTTGTGTCGTTGCAAATGATGATTTAGGTCGTACTGTCGTACGGTCGAGCCCACTAAAAGTCGGGCTTCTTTGCTGTGTGAGTTTGTTGTGGTGGCGGCCGCGGTGCACACAAACAATGGAAGAAGAAACGGCGCGAAAAGGTGCGTCCCTGTTCCCCTTATGGTTATTGATTGTCAGGATTGACAAAATTGCGCGCGCGACAGTGTGTTACTTGTTGGAGAAGAAGTTCGTTGTGGTCACTACACTAAAACAGCATCGAAGACGTTGGGTTTGTCCAGCACGCGTGCGGTCGAACGTATTAGCGAATAGTGTGCGAAGGAAGCATGCGGAGTGCTTTACTAGTTTAAAAGCGTGCATGTGACACAAATGGGTTTTGATAGGCGACAACTTCGTTTAGAGAACTCTGTACGGCAACCACCAGCAGCCGGTTTTGAAAGCTGATTAGCGAAGCGACTTAATTGTCCTTTTTTGATGATCGTACAAGTGTCCGTACAAGTAGATTCTGTACCCTGCCTGGCTGAGGCATCTAATGTCAACTTACTGCCTAGAAGACTACTGCTCCATGAATAGCCTGCTGGGATGGAGATCAGACGCCACGGCGAATGGATAGTGATTAGGGCCTGTCTAGAAGTGTATGGCTGGTAAGACTGTAGCGTGTTATTCTTGTTATCATGCAATTATGGAAAAGCAAAATTCGTACCGTCGTAGATTGGGATTGGAGAAGTAGTTTTCTTGGCTCGGCGCGTTATTAGCCCATTCAATGATTCTTTGGCTTAGGGTTTGTCGCGGGTTTACCTGGAGGGTATGTGTGAGTGCGCTCGTGGCCGTGGGTACCGCTATATACGGCACAATTGGTGGGTTTGTGGGCATCATCATGTATTTGTTGACGTGCTGCTGCATTTTGTGTGCAGGAGCGCGGAGACCACTTAAGAGGTAGGAAGACCCAGCCCTAATGTGAGCACGGTAACAATAAACCTTATTTAAAATGTTTTTTGTGCGCGTTGTTATGCAACGGCGTCTCCAACATTTGACCCAAAGGTTCATCAACGTACCAATTACTATTTTAGGTATGCTATGCCGTTCCATGTGGATGCATACGCCGAGGCTTTTTACAAGTATATATGTACGGCAGGCACGCTGTCCTGGTCACGTAATGGTTTGGTACTTCTGGGTTGACGCCACCAACCAGCAGGTCCACAGCGGAAACACGCACAGGTAGGGTCAGATAGGCCGTCAGGATTCTGGTAAGGCCGGCCCAGCCATGCAGCTGCCTGCATCTTTGGCGTTCCACAGGCAGCAGGTTCTGCAGCCACCCTAAAATAGGAAACGCTCTGTCCATTTGATTCCTTCATCGTGGGACTTGCGAGACAGGAGCGAGTGGCTTTTAATTTGACTCTACTTGACGAGCAGTAAGCACGCACAAGCGGACACGAGATTAATTGATTTGACATCTTTCTTGAGATTATATAATGTTTGGAGACATGTTTGATAAGTAGATCGAGCTGTCGAATGGTTGCGGGGTGAAGACATCGACAAATCCGCGTACCGTAACTGAAAGCGCGCAGTCTGCTGCTGTCACCGTTCAAAAACATAAATAATATATTTCTCATAAAAATAAAATTCTGTATCCAATGCTCAATATATTTGTTTGAAATACATTTGGAATACCAAACGTCCTATGCACTCGCCCGTGACTTCTGAGTAGTATCCAACCGCGGAGTAGTTAGTATCACAAATAGATAAATTCATATAAGCAAAAATGGCTTCTGAAAGGTGGGAAGGAGCCGGAGAAGGGTTATAGCAGGATGAGGGCAAACCTGCTGTCGCGGCTATAGGAACGCGTGGAGACTTCCTGCCCGTATTCATCGGCGCGCATGCTTCATGACATTACTTCAACACCTCTGGCTGCTTGTCACATCGAGCTGGGTTATCTCCCAGGTGCCGCTGCTGTACCGGGTTTCGTTCTGCCGGCTTACATCTCGGAATTAGCGTGTGTTACATGCATCGCCATGCTAAAATATCACGCAAATATAAATTTTTGCAAAAATACTGCAAGATATTTTGTGTGAAATAGCAATGGCGGGGCGCATGTGCCCAACGGTCAGAATGCCAATTAGGGTTTGAGGTCAAAGACGCTTACCGGTAAGATGGACAAATAAATTTAAACATGTCAACTATATCAACGGAAACCTAAATAAAAAAACATTGCGGGCTCATGTGAAGAGTCTTCCTAACACATTCGTACGGCACCTATAATTTTGCAACTGATGCCGTATAAGGCGTGTCCTGTTTGGGTCCCCGCGGTTATTGTTTTTTGTATGGATATTGACATGTTACGGAGGCCGCTACATTTATGAAAAACTGACCGACTATTTTTTCCTTAAAAAATACCGGATCACCACTACGCGCCTCTTTGCACTGGGGATGGTCAGAGGTTGTAGCTATGCGCCTGTGCAGCTCAGCTCCACCGTTCACGGCACCATGTTTCATTTTTTTTCCGGTCTCGAGGCTTCATGGTATGTGCGATGAGTTGTTGAGGTGAGAGTCAAGTCAACCTGGTGGCCTCGTCCTGGCGGCGAATGGATAATCCAAGACAACCTTTGATTAGCTTTTTATACTTGTGACTGCAGTCTTGGCTGGCAGCGGATCACCGGTCAAGCCTGACATCGGTTGGAACCGAAGCACTCTCCGTCGCTTCAGGAAAGACGCCCAGTCCCATAGGCGCCTAGGCGTCGAACAAATTTAATTAATTATTAAATTAAATGGATTATTATCAAGAAGACACGAGCCCTGGTGGGGGCCGTCCGGCTTTAACTCGCCAGGTTGCAGCTCCCGCTGAGGAAACTAAAGGTGCCTCGCCTCACCATCTGCCAGTTGAAAAGGAAAACAGCACCACGCCATTCGGCAATACAAATCCGAGCAGTTTGGGCTATCCGGGAGCTATCCGGGACTCCTGGGTCAACTCGTCACGTGCGACCGCCCAAGTGTCATCGGCGACGCCTCATTTCGCACATTCAGCAGTCACCAGGCTACATCTACAGCAAGCTGCCGCCCTGAACGGACCTCCAGCGTACCGTGGCGCTACCGCAGCAGCTCTGCCAGCAGCGCAAGCAGGTGTGGCGGAGGATGGTATATGGTGGCCTCAACAGGCAAGCCGCGGCGACTCAGCCATCGGCGGACCCCAACACGCACTACTAACACCGGCGCCAGCGGCGGGAGACAACCCCCCCGCCGCCCCGTGCTCAGCAGCAGCAGCCGCGGCAGGAAATCCCGGCAATGCGCAACCAGCAACACCGCCACCACCGCCTCTACCCACCCTGCCATCACCACCACGGATGCTTCTCAAGGCGGAAGGAGGCTTGGAGGTGGGAAACATAACCGCCGCAGAGCCAACATATTCCGGCCACGTCGACGGCAAGCTTGCGCCGCCATCGCCACTGCCGCTGGCGGCACCATCAGCGCCAACGCTGGCTTGCGCCTTTCCCCGACGGGCACCTTCCCATATGGAGCGCCCCATTTGCACGAGTCTGCCCTCATCAGGGCGGCCGCCATCAGCAGGCGGGGGGCCGCATACGTCGGCGGCAATGGCGGTGATGGAATGCGGAATGCGCTGGAATGTTGAGCTGACAGGTCCTTTTGTGCAGGGGCTGCGGCATCTGTCGCATCCGGCGTACGACAGCACCGTAAACATCAATGACGCGAATCATACTCAGGCCGAGGCTGCTGCGGTGCCAGCGGTGGCGGTGGCGCAAACAAAGGTCCCGTGGATGGCTGGCAGTGTTCCGATGCAGGCGCTGATGCAGGCGCCGGCTTTCCATGCCGCAACAGTTCCCGACGGCTCCTGTTTGGAGGAAGGTATGTCGCGGATTAACACAGCGCCTGTACAGCAAGAAATTGCGGCGCCGAAATTGCCGCCAGCACTGGCGCCAGATGCTTCGGGCACTGCTCCGCTAGCAAGATCCCAGGGGATGCTGAGACACGCACCCATAACGAGGGGTGTCAGCGCACCTACCGTGTTTGCAACAACAACGGCTGATATTGCTGCCGCATCAGCAGGCTACAGCGACGACGGCGGCGATGGTGCTGGTGGCGATGGCAATGAAGTGGGGGCAGGGCACATCGCCCGTGTTGCCACCCGCATAGACGGTTTCGTACCTCGGCCCTGCAGTGGCAGCGGCGATGGACAGCATGGACCCGTTGCTTCTTTACCCGTTGCAAGCACCATGGCCAACGCCACCGCTGCCTCTCCTACTATTATGGGTGGTGCCGCTGCCGCAGTTGCCGCTGCTGCTGCTGCTGCTGCAGCTGCATCCACCGCTGATCTAGGGGATGATGGTGATTGTACACCTTGCGTTGATCCCACCGGTGTCGGAAGGAGCGGCGGCCGGCGGAGCGTTGCGAAACGGGCGAACGGGCTGGACGATAGAGCGTTCCCAAAGACGTTTGATGTGTCCATTGCGGATGCCACACGGGCCATGGGCATCAGCGCTCTCGCGCTCCGGAAACGGTGGCGTCAGGAGACGATCCCCCCGGCGGTGGCGGAGGCGGCACCCGCACCGCCGCCAGCTTCGGCAAAGACAGCGTCATGGCAGGGACCTGTGACGGCGTCCTACGGAGGTTCTTCGAATATTGCGTGATGTACATCCCTAGCATGAGTACACGCACTCGCTGCAAGCTGCTGCTCTGCGTGCAAAAAATGTCTACATTTATTCGTCAAGTAGGCCGGTTAGCTGGAATTTGAGTTCTAGCCTCAAAAATAGCCGTGGAAACCATTTCTCGTTGCCGATGCTGCAAGAAACTTATGCATTGGCGTGATTTAGTCCCGTACGACTTATGGTTACTCTTGCTACTGTTGTACGGCCGGCCAGTGGTGGGCTAGGGAGGGCGGATTTGTTGTTGGTATCTGGAATGTCATTGGGAAGTACGGCACTACTGGTTGGGTAGTCCTGATCCACTACTGATCCCCATGTATGTATGTGCGTATGTATGTATGTATGTTGTTACAGGGTGGTTAACTTCGCCAGCGGCCCCCTTTCCCGGGGCAGTCCCTGCTCTCCCCTGCTAGAGGGGCACCCTAATCCGTCACCCCATCCGACTTCAGAATGTATTCGTTGGGTTCGGCAACTCACCACCAGCATCCAACCAAATCTAGCGGATCAACGGCGCATCAACTTAGTTCCTGGTCAGCTCGCAAGTTGATATTATCACGTCCTACACCGTCCATAAGATGGGGGGCCACCTCCCATTTCATCACTCCTCAAACACCCGAGGAGCCGGCAGGCGGATTTGAACCCGGGTCGACTGGGTCGACTGGGAGCAGAAGTCAGGCCTTAACCTCTGCCAGCCGCCTGCATATGTATGTATGTATGTATGTACGAATGCAGCTGTCCTACGTGTGCATGTATAGCTAGTATGTTAGTTTCAGAAAGAAGCATTGCAACTTCGCAAACGTGCATGCATGTATTTATATTTTACGTGCATGGTCTGCGTGCACACGCAAGCATATGCTGTTAGCTCTCGTAATAACGGAGCTTGCCTACGTACAGGCGCACAGGCTCGCCATAGAGCGTAGGTGCATTTGCAGCGCGAGTTCCAGAACAAGTCTGTATGGGAATGCCGCGGCGACGCTGCGATTGCTTGGCCATGCATAGATGTCGTTCGATGTGTGTGAGGTCCTGAATGTGCAGTCGGAACGTATGGCGGTGCTTACGGGTTGTGATTGTGTATGTATGTATGTGTGCTTGACGCTACGGAAACATACGCATGCATGTGTTAATATTAGTCGGAAGCATCGCCAATGTGACAAAACAATGAGCGAGTCAAGTGAAATGCTTAGCATGTGATGAGTTATGCCAGATTGCCACCTTCCTCGATGGCGAGGAGTCTCTCACTACTGGTGCGACATCTCAGGCGAACATCACTGCGGACGTTCTTAGACAAACCGCGCTTCTTACTAGTGTCATCTCGCGGATGTGCGTGTACTCACTTACTTGTTGAGGTGAGACATGCACGTCGTGTGTGTATGCGCATGCGTACGCGTACGTACTTGTTGGTGACGTATGGCCTATTTTTGTGCTTTGTGGTTGATGATGGCCTGGAAGTAGACAGCGCGTACGTAGCAGGCATTTACTTGTGGCAGGCAGGCAGGCAGGCCTTGGCTCTATCAGGGCGGCTTGCTTGCTGAGCGTGTGTACATTTTCGCATAGCGGTAGAGACTCTGCAATATCCGACAATTAAGTTAAAGTTCCAGAAATAGATATTTTTGCAAGACAGAGCTGGTTGGTTGATTTACCTGCGGCGCTCTGCGCCTAGCTGAGGGTGCAAGTAACTAGTGATTAGGAGGACTTAGATAAGCCCTGGTAAGCCGTGGTCATGCAAGTAAACGCTTGTTACATGTCGGCTTTTTATTTCTCATCTTACTTATTCGCCAGTCCTTATGAGTGCTTATCTGTCACCGCCAATACTAGCTCGCATGCGTTCAGGTAGACAGAGCTGGGCAGTAGCCCCTAATTGATTTCGCTCAGCCGCGTCGCGTCCTATATAGGATTGAATTATTATTGTGCTGTTGTCGCTCTCCAATTTGTTTTTATCGAGCGATGCAAAAGCATGAAGGATTACGAAGGGGGCTATAAAGCCATAGCTTGGGTTATATCTCAAAAAAACAGTCACTTGCCGGCGGCAGCTAGCAACTTGCTTGTCATCGCCGGCGGTGCCCGCGCGCCCGGGTGTCTGCTTCGATAGCGGTAGTGGAGCGTAAACAGCAGTACTGCGCATCCGGCACACGAGCGGGGCGCGCACAAACGGACGCTCGGGTCAATGTTAAGACCTTAATGCTGGTATCATTATTAATGCCTTATTATTTCTGCGACAGGAATCAGCAGCAATCCACGCTCGTCGTCACCTCGTCGCCCGTGCGTTAGCCCGCCGACGCGCGGGATTGCTTGGCTGCTTTATAAATGTTGTTGTCAATTTCATTCACCAACTTTTTCCTGACTTTGCTATGCATAACCTTCTGCTGTTGATAACTAGTAACTAGCTAACGAGAGTACAATCGATTTTAGTTGTCCATAGTTGTTATTGCCTTCCAGATTACGTGCATAAAGCCGGCTGCTGGCTAAGCTTGCTAGTTAGGTTCATGTGGGAATGTGTGTACTTCATTTATTCGCCATATGTTGCCGATGCCGGGATCGATTTGACTGTGTGTGTATGTACGTATGTGCGCATGTGCTCCATTCCTCGTGGATGTGTGCATCTGCGCATGTATGCATGTCTGTGTATACGTACATGACTACTGACCAAGCGCGAACATACCAAGGGCGAATGATGAAGCCAATAGTAAGCAGTAGTAGCAGTAGCAGTAGTAGCAGTAGCTTGGTATCGATATGAGGGGAGTCGTACGAAGTATCCTTGCTGGATGCATTGATTTACACATGCATACATACATAGCGACAGACGTACGTACGGGGTAGACTCGATATGTCTACACATACGCTGTTGAACGGTTGCTTGATTTGTTATGAATATAAATCAGCTGATAGGTGACAGCGGTGAACTTAGGGAGGTAGGTACTATCCATCGCTAGCTCCCGCAGATGCACTATTTTGCTGGGTAGAGCTCGATACACATGTAGCAGCTCCGCCGTAGTGTCCTAGCCATTGGTTGGGAATGGTGTATGTATGTATGTATGTATGTATGTATGTATGTATGTATGTATGTATGTATGTATGTATGACGTTGATTACACTGTGGGCTGAAAAGCCGGGGGCCCAGGGCCGAAGCACAGCGCGGGGGGCGGGTGCATACGGCTGGTTAGTCTCATGCACTCCGCCCCCGGGTCAGGCCGCACGGGAAACGACGGCCGGCACGCAACAGCGCTTGTTTGGCGCTCCAACTAGACGGGATCTATGCCCGTTGGTCTCCTAACATAAACGAAGTCGCAACTGGGGGGCTCTTCCTGCCGACCGAACGAACCGAGCATCTCAGAGAGCTCGCTACCAGGACTTGGGCGACCGGGAGCCCGACGAGTCTTCCCGGGCTGGGGAGGTCACCAAGCTCAAAAATCCTCACGCAAAAAAGAGCGCAAAGAGCTCACACCACAAGACGCCAAACAGCCTCCTGAGACTACTACCCTCCTCCGCCTCTCCCTCCCTGGGCTAGTCCAGGGGAGATAGCCCCCGTCGAGGGGGTAACACCGCACAAGTCCGCGCCCTTCCACAGCACTGGGTCTAAATTGAAAAGTACTCAAA